AAGAGAAAGCATCAAAACTCTCTTCAGAAAGTTTGTCTGCTTACGGCCGCTGACAGAGAAGGCGTTTTTATGGAAAACGCCTGCTCGGGTATACGCCGTGCACCTGTCTGTGGACAGAAGTCGCACTCGCATTTGAAAGTCCTCCATTTTCCTGAAGAAGGTGTTAGTATCGTGATTGAGTTGCATTGTACTGTTATATGGTACTCTTGTTTCACTTCCCATGAACTGCTCTACACTTTGTTCTCCTTGGGATTTCAGGAATGTTCTATGACTTTCATTCATGGATTTCAGGGATTCTAGAAAGCATGTTTTGACTATGCTATACGAAGTTTTTGGGCTGACAATGAGACTTATAATGCTCTGCATGCTCTAATGCTCCATGGAGCTCTTGTCTGTGTGACTCTCCGACAGCTGCACGGTGCAGAGCTCCTGGAGAACATTAGAGCGTGAATGTGCACTGCAGGACACTGCACTTTTCAAGCCGTCTTGCAGCCCCGTCTCTCTGGATACGACCCCCCCTTTCGTTCGACCGAATACGACCCCCTCGTTGTTCTTTGCGCAACGGGCGGTTGACCCTGATTTAGACTCTTTCTCCTAGATTGGTGGGTGGGGCATGCAACGCTGTGATCGGAGCTATGATCTGAAAGTACCAATATGATCCAGGGATAGCATGGAACCGAAAAGAAAGCGGATAGCAGCTTAAATGAGCAACTCATGGTGAATGGAGCTAAAAGCGACGGAGTCAGTGGAAAGGTACTTTGCCCACAAGAGTCAGTGGAAAGGTACTTTGCCCACACGACAGGGTGCTTGTGCAAACCGCGAAAGTGTTTTTAGTCTTGATCAATTAAAATGGCTTTCATGGCCATAGTATGGTGTGATCATTCCGTAATTTACGTCGCTTCCTTTCCAACCCTGTTCTGATGGTTGGTGCGGATGCAGCATGTGATGAGGTCGAGTAGACTGCGAATCTTCCCCGTTTTCCACGGTCTACTGAGTTCGTGCACCTACAAAGGTTCTTGAAGCTCGTATAACTTCGTATAATGTATGCGCATTTTATTTTAGTTAAGAACGATTCTTTTTACAAGGCGCGCATCCTCTACCAGTCATCGTACTCATCACTAGCAAGGCAATTAGCACTTTTTATTCGGATCTTCATTCACTTAGCTTGTTAGTCCTATGATACTAGTTGCTCAAGACCAACCAAAAAACTTGTAAAATTGGTGTTGGCACAGCGAGTGTGTGGTGAGTGCGGAAAGTGGTGTAGTGGCAAGTGGCACGCTTACCACGCGAGCGGTCCGGGGATCAAATCCTGGGTCGTGAGTCGCCCGGGCCAACCAAGCCTTCCATCCCTCCGGGGTCGGTTAATTGGTACCAGACTTGTCTGGGAGGATAAAAAACACTGACTTGAACATCGGCTGGCCCCCGCAAGTCATTGTATAGGCCACATCGCATTCAAACGCGCCACTACGAATGTACAAATGGAAGTAGAATGCGTGCCGCATCCCAAAAAGGGATTGATCAACGGCAAATGCTTTATCCTTTATGCTTTATTTACAGCGAGTGTGTGGTAGCAGCTTTGTTGTGAACCTTGTTGGTCCTTGCACTTACGACACACTCACTTAACTTTGAAGCATATACGACCCCCCTGTCGAGGTTTTCCTTTTCCTCTACCATTGTTTACCTTGGTTGCAGGTAGTACTTGCTGCTGTTTCTACTTCTCGTTCTTCCGTTGTTGGGGCCCATTCTTTCTTTTGCTCCAACTTTCTTGATCTCCTCACAATTGAATCTTTTTTGCTCCAATCAGTAAGACTCAACACTTCATTTCCTGTTTTTTTGTTGTTGTTGATTTTCTTGAATTCATTTTTCTCTTTTCGACCACAGTTCGCTTTCCAAATAAAAATGCTATGGTACTACTTCTGTGGTCACGACCGGCCGTTTCGAATACGATCGGGTTCGAACGCCATGGCTGACCAGCTTATCTGTGCATGGTTTTCAGCAAATTTCTGGCAAAATTCCTCACTACGAGGTTCCGATTTTGTAGGCGTCACTATCCTTTTAACTTCTTAGTGGCAATAGATGGAAGTTGACCAACCCCTTTTCGCGGAAGCGCCATGTATCAAACCCCAAGAATTGTTGGGGTTCCATTCGAATGTGTGAAATTTGTGCAACACTACAACTAGACCGAATTCAGCCGGGTAGAAGAGGTTGTAGGAAGTCGTCGTTTATGTGGGGGAGGGTCGTACTGACGAGACCTTTTCCTTGACTTTCACATCCTGCAATCTGCCTAATACCCGCTCTACATTATAAGTTGTTGATATCAAATATCCTTACATACTATAAAGCGCTTCGTCTGTCGTTCTGTCCCTCTGTCGTTCTGTCCCTCTGTCTGTCGTTCTGTATGTCTGTCACGAAATTCCCTAGCTCCTCGGGATCCGCCTGGAGGGACCGGGTCAAGTGTGGGATGGGTGGGCAGGGTCTCACGTAATACAAAACACACATCAGCTAAGCGGAGCCCCGCCCACAGAGGGCGTGGCGTGCGTCGAAATGAATTGTACCGAAGACCAAGATTTCGATTTCAGTGACAAAACGACCTCGAAACTGGGCCAAAAAGTGGGTAAAGGTGTGCATTGGTAAGTCACATCGAATTAGGGAGACCCACCCCCGGTGGGCGGGGCGTTCTCTAAAAAAGCAGTGCTTTATGAAAAATTTCATAACTCGGTTGGGAGAAAGCCTACAGAGCAGAAAACAATTGGTGTAAGGGAGCAATGTCTAAGGTGTTTCTGCATACATGACGTGGGCGGAGGCCCTGCCCAGAATGGGCGGGGCGCGCTCTGAAGTGTACAGCATTTTCTACAAGCCCTCATAATTCGGGTCGGGGAAGTCCTAAAGAGCCGGAAAAAGGTGGATAGAGGTGTATGGAGGAGTGGAGGCCAGCTGTCAATGGTGGGCGGGGCTTGACCAAAGTGGGCGGAGTTTGCGACGAAAATTTATAACTCGGCTCCAAGAAGTCCCGGAGGCTGGGGAAAAGGTGGATAGAGGTGGGTGGAGGAGTGGAGGTTAACTGTCATTGGTGGGCGGGGCTTGACCAAAGTGGGCGGAGTTTGCGACGAAAATTTATAACTCGGCTCCATGAAGCTCCCGGAGGCTGGGGAAAAGGTGGATAGAGGTGGGTGGAGGAGTGGAGGTTAATTGTCATTGGTGGGCGGGGCCTGACCAAAGTGGGCGGAGTTTGCGACGAAAATTTATAACTCGGCTCCATGAAGTCCGGAGGCTGGGGAAAAAGGTGGATGGAGGTGGGTGGAGGAGTGGAGGCCAGCTGTCATCGGTGGGCGGGGCTTGACCAAAGTGGGCGGAGTTTGCGACGAAAATTCATAACTCGGTTCCAGAAGGTCCCGGAGAGTGGGGAAAAAAGAAGATATAGTTGGGTGGGAAAGTGGAGGTCAAGGCCAGTGGTAGGCGGGGCTTGGCCAAAGTGGGCGGAGTTTGCGACGAAAATTCATAACTTGGCTCCAAGAAGTCCCGGAGGCCGCGGAAAAGGTGGATGGAGGTGGGTGGAGGAGTGGAGGCCAGCTGTCAATGGTGGGAGGGACATGACCAAAGTGGGCGGAGTTTGCGACGAAAATTCATAACTCGGCCCCAAGAAGTCCAGGAGGCTGGGAAAAAGGGAGTAGAGGTCGGCGAAGGAAAGGAGGTCAAATGCTATTAGTGGGTAGAGCACGCACCCAAGTGGGCGGAGTTTGCCAAAAGTATCGCAATTCGGTTGCAAGAGGTCCTAGAGATAGGGGAAAACGGGGTTAGAGGTTGGTGAGGGAAAAGAGCTCAACTGCTATCACTGGGTAGAGCACGCACCTAAGTGGGCGGAGTTTGCCAAAAGTGTCGTAATTTGGTTCCAAGAGGTCCCAGAGACCGGTGAAAAAGGGGGTAGAGGTCGGCGAAAAGAAGGGAGCCAAATGCTATTGGTCGGCAGGGCACGCACCGAAGTAGACGGAGTTCGCCACGAGATTTATTGTCCGGGCCGAGGACCGAGAAAAATAGGATAATGGTTGACGAAGAAAGAGCGCATAGAATTTAGCGGAGAATTCAGATATTCGTATTGTATCAAGCCAAATTTGAAATTTTTCGTCGCACCATCAAAATTCGCCACAGATCTGTGTTGCGCGCGCAATGCGTGCGGCGCCAACTGGTTACGTATAAATGTAATTGCAGGCATGTAATTGTCGCTGTATATTTTACATAATTTTTCAGCGTGTACCTAAAAATGGTGTCTTGTGGAGTTTGTGGAGAAATCATGGCAGATGGAGGAGGGAAGTGGCCGTCCCGTATGGGAAATCAAGACATAATCTTGTTAATGTCTCTTTCATTAGCTGGGCAAATGGATAGTGAATCTGCACATGCTTCAGCTGAGAGTGCTAGAAACCGTGTTCTGAAATTATGCCATGTTCATATAGTGCGAGCGGTAAGTGAAAAAAAAAATAATGGTATATACCATTTTTCCTTCAGAGTGGACATTTTTCAAATCGCTGTGGATGTTTTTTCGGATCGATTGGAACTCTTTTCAAACCATCGAACTATTTTTTTCAGATCAAATTGCTCATATTTTTCCTAGAAATCAGAATGTTTGTCGCAAATGAACCACGAGAGGCAGCGGGCAAGAAATATTGTTAGCACCTATGGCGGATATACTGTATCCAACGGCACATTAATGAAGCAACGATAGAAGGGCCTTGACTTCGGACGTCTTGCAGGATGATGAAGAGATCGTTGAACAACGTCTGAAGAATAATACTGGACTCAACGACTCCTGAAGGGTAACGATCGTATAACTTCGGCCATGTTCAATCTGTGATCAATACCCTGAAAAATGTAGTATGTGGTCATACGCAAAAAGATGAAACGCGTGCTTGTGCTTCAGTATCAACCACGGCCAAGCGTGCGTTGAGGAATCCTCGGCAGGTGGCGGGGGGGGGGTCGTATTTGGCCTGCTGGGAGGAAAGGATCGTGCCGAATCGTTGCAGTAGGATCATCACTGTCGAAGGACAAACATAAAGGAGTGATTGATGCTGTGCAGGCTTGGCCAGAGTTTTCGCAAACATACAATTTTCATGGTCCAAAGGGGTTTGCGTTACAATCCTAGGCTACCTCAGTGATTTATTAAGACAAGGTTGAAGAATAGGAAATTCGCACGTTTCCAGGCGGATATTTTGTCTTTCAAAAAGCCACCAATATGAAGAGATGTGAAGCACACGGCGCGTCCCAGAGTGGCGCAGCCACTGAGCGCATTTCAACTACGGCTCTGGAGAAAAAATTTCGATTCAGGAAAAATCAAGAAGCTTCTGAAAGGGCCCGTGTAAAATGACAGGGGAATCATTTATTCAAGAAAGAATGCAGTTTTAGCGTCAAATTTACAAACATGTTATCGTAAAAGTTAGAATTTGCTGTATACTTTTACATTTATGGAAAGATAAAAGCCTGTTGATTTCGAATCTGCTTTTACTTTTGTGCAGACATCGTCTCATACTATTTGCTGAAGGGGTGCCAATGAGATGAAGGCGAATTACTTGACTGGTACTCGTGCGAGCAATCCACTTGATGGATACTTTTGGAAAATATGAATTAATCATATTATTTAAAAGCGGGTTGAATAGAGCAAATTGGTTCACAATGCCATTTTCAAATTAGACGAATTTGAATGTTGATATTGCACTGAAAAGTAAAAACCCGCGTTTCTTGGAGATTTTCCTCGTTGTTTTTTTTGCAAAATCCTCGACGTAGCCATTTTTGATATACCTAACGACAAAGATGTTTCAACAGCTGTTGAATGAAGCAAGTCTTCTAGTTTGGTTTGCCATGTTAACTTTTCAGGTTAAACACAGTTTGGATGGAAGTTCATGGTTTGCGGAAGTGTAAAAACATGCACTCATCAAGAATTTTCCTCGTTAATCAATTTAAATTGCTTATTTTCCACTGGCTTTCATAACTTTAACACAGGCTAGAAGAGAGCTCGTCAGAAAAACTCCCAAATCTGCTTTCAGATTGAAAATTCGTTCACTTTGAAGAAAGTTATAATCATTTGAATATTTGTTCAAATTTCAATAGTAAATAAGCTGCTCCACGGTCAACGCCAAAGAACAGTCAACACACAGCTGGTTAAGGCGGTTACAAGGCATTTGTCGGCGACAATTGGTCGTATAGATTGATTGGAGTATTTATGGACTTCGGCCGTTGGGAGAGGGGAGCGTAAGTGGGGGGGGGTGGTCTTATTTCAAAATCTCCGCCCGAATGCGTCGCGTGAAACTCGCGTATTAACTGTCAGAGGCCGCATGGCAAACGTATCATTTTATGAATAGTTATACGAGCCGATGTTACAAGTCAGTGTTTTTATCCTCCCAGACAAGTCTGGTACCAATTAACCGACCCCGGAGGGATGGAAGGCTTGGTTGGCCCGGGCGACTCACGACCCAGGATTTGATCCCCGGACCGCTCGCGTGGTAAGCGCGCCACTTGTCACTACACCACTTCCGCCCCTGGGCCCCGCAAGTCATTGTATAGGCCATATCGCATTCAAAAAGCCACTGCGAATGTACAAATGGAAGTAGAATGCGTGCCGCATCCCAAAAGGGATTGATCAACGGCAAATGCTTTATCCTTTTTTTTATTTAATTTAAGGCGCCGTCCATGAAAATATCACCAATGATGAAACTGAACAATACGAACTGACTGCGAGGATTTCCTTCGGAATTTGAAGACATCGGCAAAGCGCCTGCTGTGCAGGATGGCGGCCGAGCTGACGCTGCGGTCAGTGCAGGAACGATGATGGTTGTATTATGTCCTCCACACGATGGCTTGGCTTTCTTGTCAGGAAAACCGCATTTGTTTCTTATCGAATTTGCCATGTCTATTTTGTCAGGGATATACAGTGGAAAACGAGGATAGTCGAGCCTGATTTGAGCGATTTGAACTGTGTACATATTGATTTGAAAAAAAAAAAACAGAAATGACGAATTTCTGTGCATCTGAAAAAGCTCAATAGGTTTGGAAAATGCCTCCTATCATTTGCAAAAGAGTCCAGGTCGAATTGAAAAATGTCCGCGCCCATTTTAAAAGCGCTAGCTCTGATTCAAAAAAGTCCGCCTGAAGTGAAAATGGTATACATTTTCATTAATCTAGTTCACTAATAATTAACTGATTAATTAATGTTAACCCATGACTTTATCTATTTATTTATTTGTAAGATCTGATTTCATTTTTAACAGGCTCAATATCTTCTGGCTGAAATGGTAATCGCAGGAAAAAGGGTATCACATTTTGACGAATGCAGTACTTCTGGAAGCTCAGCGTACGTAATGCATGAAGATATTCCTCGGCATCTGGTTACGCTTTTGAACAGGAAAGCAGAAGTACGATCTGTATTCAATTAAAGGCAGCGATTACGATAAAGAGGGAGCGCATCGGGGAAGCATATGCACCACACGAATCAGTTACTTGGCTGCCAGGAAGCGAGGTGTGGCGCTTTCACGACGAAAGGTGCGCTGGTTGCTGAGCAGGACTTCGAAAGCACTCCGCCCCAAAAGCGATCCGCCCACTAGTTTAGTTGGTGATTTGGACGAGCTGCGTTGCCAGCAGCGGCACAACTGGAGCAACTCGACTGGAGCATGGTTTGGCATGGTGCCACCAAACGCGTTGCGGTGAACTCGTTCATACGTCCGCTTTCTGAGCTGTTACCTGTTCATGAGTGAGAAAAAACGGCCAAAAAGGGGGTCCACATTTTGGGTTTATTGACTGCTTTCTTCGCTTTTTTCGCCACTGGCGTACCATTGAGCACCACCACGTCTCCTCAAAACCTTCTTAAATCCGTCGTAATCGCTGCCTTTGAGGCTTATTTTCATCGTAGCTGTCCAAGAAAATTTTCAAAAATTGCGGGTTTAGGGTAGCGCCACAGTTACATCTCATGATGTCAGCAGATTTCTCAATGACGTCTTTAATCGTTACTATTCTACACCAATATGGCCCATAACAGCGGAGGTAAAAAGTTGCCAAATTAAAAAAATTGTTGATTTGAATCTAATTAGCCCTCGGTTTTAGGTCATACGTGGAGAGAAGCTCCGATGAGTGAAAGTGATGGGGAATCGGGCGACTTGGAACCTGATGAAATACCGGAATGCTCCTTGTTAAGAAACTCTTGCCGTGGGGCGGGGTATGGACCGATGAAAACGAAGCCCTGTGGGATTTGTGGGAAAATGTTGGCAGTGATGGGTGAAAAGTGTTCATCCAAAGCAAAAAAGCAAAACTCGATTCTGTTAATGTCTCTTTCACTGGCTGGGCAAATGAGCCGCGGACGAGCACGAACCCTTGCTGAGCGCGTCACGAAAGAAAAGCCAAGATTATGCCATGTACACCTGGTACAAGCGGTAAGCCTAGCACAACTAACGAATACTTGTTCTTTGCTTCAAAGTTTTCGTTGCTAACAGGCTCAGTATGTGTTGGCTGAAATGGCAATGGCAGGAAATGAAATCTCTCGTTTCGAAGATCCGAATGCTTCGGGATGCACAGTGTATGTGACGGATGGGGATATTCCTCAAAATCTAGTTGCTGCTTTGAATAGGATTTCAGAAGTACGATTTATGCATTACGATTTGTACGATCGAAGATTATCTCTTATCGTGGTTATCTTGAAAATTGGTGTAAATACCATAATTTCAGAGTGGCATCTCCATCACATCTCGCGATGTTAGCAAATTTCTCAATGACGCTCTTAAACGTTATTATTCAACAGAATTATGGCCTGTGGCGCCAGAGGTTAAAAAATCTTTTTTTTTTGAATTGGTAATGTTTGGTTAAAGGCAAACTCCGGGATAAAACGTGGGACTTCCTGTTCAACTATGAAGTACTGGGTGCTAAGTGAATCGAAGCTAAAGAAAAAAGCAGGAAGTACTCCCAAAAAGTCCAAAATAAGAAAT